CTGTTGGAGGCGGGATCGGCAGGGGTACCCCCCTGCCCCGCGCAGAGAGCCTCCCACCCCCAGCCCACGCTTTCCAAACCTGGCGGAAGGGGGCGCGGGAGCCCCGAGAACTCCCCGTTTCCTGCGGGGAGAGCAGCTGCACTTTGGACAAGGAGGGTTCGCAGCGTCCAATGGACCCCAGTGGGTGCGGAGCCCGCAGCGACAGATGGTCACAGCGCACGGACTGGCGGCGAAAGAGAAACTGGACTGTCCTAGGTCAAAGGGCACACGGTCCCCGCCGGGAGGGAGCGGGTCCTTCGTAGCTCCTGTCCGCGGTGGGCGGGCCTGGGGCCTGGGGAGCGTCACTGGCTGTCCCCAGGTGACCCCTTCCTAAGCCAGGGCTTGGCCAGCGGCTCATGGGCTCCCGGGAGCGAAGCGCGGCTCCGGCCGGCACCTTCCTGGACCGAGGCGGCACCTCCCTGGCCTGAGGTCAGCGCCCCGCCAGGCCCCTGCCCCTGGGGCGCTTACAGAGAAACCCTGTGTGAAATGCTGCCCCCCCGCCCCGCGTTCTCTGCAGGCACCTGAGGACTCCAGGCGACCTTGGCTTCCCCTGGACACTCCCCACTCCCGGGTTGTAAGTCCATAAACTGCCTCCGGCCCCGCCTGCCAGCGCTTTGGCTCACACCCGCCTGCCCTCTGGGGCTAAAGAGTCCTTCCGTTCTGTTCTCTGGCTCGGAGCGTGGCGCTGAGAAATGGGTATTTCCTAGATTTGAAACCACGCCCTGCCCATCCTCCCAGAGTCGCTGTCAGGGTGCGGCCGCAGCCTTGGGCCCAGCCCTGCTCCTTGGCTGGTCCAGGGACCTCCCCCGCCTTTCCTGGGCCCAGTCGCTGGCTGTCACTCCGCGCTGGCTCCTTCCGGAGAGATTACAGTCTAGGTTCCCGCAGGGGGAGCACATTGCAGTTAAAGCGGATAAGTTAGTTTTCCTTCCAATGGTTTCTGTCCAAGTGGACTTTTTTTGTCTTTCCTGATTGTCAAGTTAATAGTCGCCGTAAAAAAAATAGTAAATAACGAAGTGAAACTTCCAGCTGCTTCTACTACCTAAAGGCAAACTCTCCCCCCTCCCCCACACACACAGTTGAAATATGAACTGTGTTCACTTAAGATACTATAAGCATTTGCATACCGTGGGTGAGGGGTCCCTGCTACACCTGAGAGCTCAGGGGAGGCCTGCGTGGGGCCCCACAAGCTCAGAGACCAAGCACCCACAGAGGATGGCGTGAACGTAATCCCGGAGGAAGCCTGGGCCTCTGTGTGCAGAACAGGCAGCGGAAGGGCCATCTCCGAGCGTCATCCCAGGCCCCGGTGCTGCCTCCGGCAGTTGTCCTTGGTTTGTCTCCATAAACTCTTATGCGGCTTTTTCTTCGAGGGAGCTATTTACACAAAGTAACGTGCCTGTCTGTCTGGCTTGTACTTTAATGGGTGGTGCTAAAGAATGTTAACTCCCTTTTAATTTATTTATTTTTAAATATATTTTTATTGATTTCAGAGAGGAAGGGAGAGGGAGAGGGAGATAGAAACATCAAGGATGAGCGAGAGTCATTGATTGGCTGCCTCCTGCACGCCCCACATTGGGGATCAAGCCCGCATCCCGGGCACGTGCCCTGATGGGTAAATAAACTGTGACCCCCCCCCCCGGATTAACTCCCCTTTTTAAAATAAAGGGTTTATGAGGCCATCACTAGCCAAAAAGGGAGGTTGCAAGTTTTCCAGACATTCGAAAGTTTTGTTACCATACATGCAAACACACAGCCGGCTCGGTGAAGATCACAGTTGGTTTTTGCCAGGGAAGATGCCAGCTGGGATGTGACTGCCCACCATAGACTGCTTTGTAATTAAATGTTAACTGCAGGCCCTCCTTCGTGGTTAATTAGGTCTCTGAGGGTTAGTCAGGTTGGCACGTGGCCCCTCTCTGTCCACAGGGGCCAGAGCAGAACCTGGCACGCGGCGTCCTGGCCGGGAGTCTGGGACCCCCTCCTGCTGCAGGGACAGCCCAGCCCAGCTGCGGAGGGCAGGCCTGTCCCAGGACACGGCGCATCCCTCCCGCGGGAGAGGTCTGAGCACCGTGTTTGGGGTCAGAGGAAATGCTCCCTGAAACTGCTGCAGCAGCATTGCCTCGGTGCGGGGTCAGAGGAAATGCTCCCTGAAACTGCTGCAGCAGCATTGCCTCGGTGCCAGGGTCCAGCCTCACCGCTGAGCAGGCGGCTGGGCCTCGGCCAAGCGGTCCGTTTCCTGGAAGGTGCCTCTCAGGACAAAGGGCGCACACAGTCTCAGCCGCAGCCAGCGCCTTGCTGCTCTCGGAGCAGACTTTAAGGAAGAGATGTTTCTGTTGACTTCAGAGAGGAAGGGAGAGGGAGCGAAGGGAGAGGGAGCGAGAGAAGCATCGATGAGAGGATCATGGATCGGCTGCCTCCTGCTCGCCCCGTACTGGGGATGAGCCCACAACCCGGGCCTGTGCCCTGACTGGGAACCGAACTGTGACCTCCTGGTTCATAAGTCGACACTCAACCACTGAGCCCCGCCGTCCGGGCCAAGCCCTGTCCTTTTGACTTTCAGCAGAGACTCTTGTGCGGCATGACTGGCAAACTCTTTGGCCACTGATTCAACTTCGAGCCCCTCTCCCCTCCCCAGGGTGGGGGTGGCTGAGGAGTCCAGTCCTCCCATCACGTGCTTGGTTCTGGCAACCAGCTGGCCCTCAGGTGCGGCCCTTAGGTCACTTCATCGATATAACAAAAGACACCATTCACAGCAGCACAGCTCACCAAGCTAAGGTCTGGAAGCAGCCGAGTGCCCATCGGCAGGTGAGTGGGTGAGAAAACGGGTCCATCCACACAATGGAATCCTACGCTGCGGTAAAAAGAAAGGATATACCATTCGCAACAGCATGGATGGACCCGGAGAGCATTATGCTAAGTGAAATAAGCCAGTCGGAGAAAGATAAATATCACATGATCTCACACATAGAGGAGGGGGGGGCGATGGGGGTATAGGACACAGATGTAATACCTTATTCCAGCGGTTCCCAAGCTGTGGGTCTTGACCCCCTTGGCGGTCGAACGACCCTTTCACAGGGGTCGTCTAAGATCATCCTGCATATTAGATATTTACATTACGATTCATAACAGTAGCAACATGACAGTTATGAAGTAGCAACGAAAATAATGTTATGGTTGGGTCACAACATGAGGAACTGTATTTAAAGGGCCAGAAGGTTGAGAACCACTGCTAATCAATAAAGACAGGAAAAACAATAAAAAGACACTGTTCCCGTCTCAGCACAGGATGTGGTAAGGGCCTAGGAGCTCTGCCAGGAATGGGAGGAAGACCGAGTATGTTTGTAATCCCGCGTCACAGACCCGTGGGACTGGCCCTCACTGCTGCCCCTCAGGACTCGCGGGCCTCCTCAGCTCCCTTCGCTGGGCCTGAGGCTGGTGTCTGCGGAGCAGTGACATGTCGGTGCCGGGGGACAAGCCGGGGAGGAGAGGAAGCTGTAGGGAAGCCTCAGCTCCAGGCCCAGCCGGCTTGTTTTCTCCGCGTTGGGGACTGGCTGGTGGTAACAGTGACCCGGCCCTTCCTCCACAGGCACCTGAGGGGTGTTAGCGGGGTGGCCCGGCCTCTGACAGGTGGCTGGGGAGATACCTGGTTGGGAACCTGCCCGGCTGCACGGGCCTGGCTGCTCTCGGTGACACCACTCACCCCATTTCCTGCCTCGGCGTTGGGTGGCCTTGGCGTCATTCTGCTCATGTCTAAGCTCGGTGTCCCTCCCGCCAGGCTCCAGGCTGGGGGAACCTGGAGCCGCCCAGGTGCCAGGCCAGGTGCTCGGGGACCAGCCCTGTCAGCCGAGTTCCCTGCGTGCCGTGGCTCTGCTCTCCTCCCCACGGAGCCCTGTCCTAGGCCGTGTTTGGTGCCCAAAGTCTATGGGGTTGTTCCCTCCCGGGCAGAGGACCCACCACCAGCCTCAGTCCTCCTCCCGGGGCAGGTCCCTGGGGCTGGTGCCTGAGCAGCCCCCGCTCTCCGAGCTGCGCTTGGGGCCTGAGGGAGGACAGGGAACGCGCTGGAAGCACAGGCAGCAGGGGGTCTGCTGGGTGGAGGCCTCCTTTCACTGTCTGCAGGTTACCTGGCTTCCCTGACGGCCGTGACCTAGGGCCCTACCAGGGGTCACTGTGGTTCAGTCTGTTCAACAAGGGGCCACTGGACTGAGGGCCTCTGCTCTGATGCCCTCAGCAAACCGAGCCTGGCGGTGCCTGGAGGTCCCCAAATGAGGCCACGAGGGACAGCCAGTCTCCAGCGGCCAGCAAGGCTGGGAGCTGAGCCTTCAGGAGGCCCTGCCCAGCCTCCTCCCTCCCTTCCCGTCCCCTCCCAGGCTCCCGGGGCTGGGCTCGCCCCACTTGCCGTTTGACTTGATCTGCGCTCAGAGCCCGCAGTGTGCTTGTGGCTCAGTTTTCCGGTTCACACAGTTCCTGTTGCCCCCAGGGTCCTGCTGTGGCTGCCAGGATGGCTCTCCAGGGAGGTGGTGCCAAGGAGCCCGAGACCCACAGGTGAGCCCGGGGCAGGGTTTGGGTTGTGCTGACTAAGGGGACCGTGCCAGCGGCCGCTCAGGACGGGCTGGGGACTGAGACGGGTGCAGAGCTGGGTGGAGGCGTGGTTTCGTGCTCAGCTCTGCCCTGCGTGGGGCTTACCGGACACCTGGACACGCTGCAGGAACTCGGCCCCGTTCTCCCCAGCTCCCTCTCGTCCCGAGTCTTCGGTACTTTCCGGGTTTTTCAGTTTTCGTTGGTCGTTCTCATGGCAACTTTTATGTTTATTTGCTGGGAAAGCACCCATTTCCTGTGTTAGTCCCGGTTCCTGTGCGGACTTCAAGTCCACTAGCTTTTCTTGTTTCCTGGACACTCACTGCCCCGCCTCTGCCGGGCTGACCCGGGGTGACCTGGGCACCCCGCCCTGCCGCAGTGGCCCCCAGGTCCCGGCGACCTCTGATCTTGAACCTCTGGGAGCCCCTGCTTGGGGGGACTCTCAGGAACTCCTCTGTGACCCAGAGGCCTCTCAGGCTGGTCACGTGTCCAGGTGGTAACCGCACAGGCACACCTGGCCCCCTCCCTCTGTCTCTGGGGGCTCTGAGCCGTTTTCAGGTGCCAGGTGGCCTTGCGAGCGTTACCTGCGGCGATGACTTTGCTTGAACTGGTAGAATCCCTGCTGCTTTCCGTGGTGGACAACCAGGAGGCCCTGTCCCCGACTCTGAGCCCTCCTTGGGTTGAGGACCCCGGGGCTGCGAGGGGAAGTATTTGAGCGAAGTTGCAGAAGGGGAGCCGGGCTCCACGGGAGTCACCCCTTCCCTCGCTCCGTCATTGTTCACCCTCCCTCAGTTTTATGTCCACCTGCCGAGGGGCTGTGCCTGGCAAGGCCTCCGCTGTGCAGCCTCCGCGGTGTAGCCTCCGCGGTGTGCGTCCTCCGCTGTGCAGCCTCTACTGAAGCTGTGACCCCGAGCCCTCGGCATGGGGGTCACTGAGTTATTAGGTCCCAGGATTAGGGACTCATCCCCACAAAGTCGAACCTTCCGCCTGACTGTCCAGGGTCCGACGTGAGGCCGGCCTTGGACTCGGCACGGTCCCCGCAGCCTCCCCAGCTCCCCAGCCCCTGCTCCCTGGTCCCACCCGCCCTGACACAGCCGGCCCCTCCCTGCTGGTCTGTGCCTCACGCCAGCACATACTTGGTAGTTGAGTAAAGTGACCAAACAAAGCAGAACAAAGTCGCTTCACGTGCGTGGGCTGGAGACACCGTTACCCAACCATGTGCCCGTGACTCGTCATGTAAATCCTTCGAGATGCGTGTGAGTCCGTCCCAGTCCGTTTCGGGGCGAGTCCACACCGGCTGGTTTGGAACCATTGCTAGCCCCCAGTGACCACAGCCCTGCTGCGCTGTCCTCTCCCAGAATCGGAGCAACAGGGAGGCAGCGGGCCTTCTGCTGGCGCCCTGCGCGCACAGTGCCCTGAGGTCTCATCGCGGGACCTGGTCCCGTTAACGGCCGCTGGCGCTCGGAGCTCAGAGGCCAGGGGTGAGGTCAGGCGTCTGCTTGGCCCACAGGTCAGCGGGGGCCCTGGTGGCACAGACGCCTGGGTGTGGCCCCTGGAGAGTGGCCTCCCGGCCCCAGGAGAGCGAAACACACCCTGAGTCTGGAGACCCAGGGAGCCTGGTCAGGACTGGGCAGAGGGCGGGGTGGACAGGTGTGGTCCGGGCATCGCGGTGACCTGGGGTCTGTGGTGACAGAGAGGAGCCCACGGCAGCCGCCAGCACGTCCCCTTTTATAGAAAGATCTTTACTGCGCTGCGTCCTGCTTTTCTGTACGAGGACCAGCCTTTCGAAATGTTGGGTGTGAGCCGATTTGGACGCCACTGCAGGGAAGTGGGAGGGGATGATGGGGTGGGAGCCCAGTTGTGGACGGCCGATGTCCAAGCAGATGGAGACTAGATGAGACGGTAGAGGAGACGAGGAGAGGACGCCGTGAAGGCTGAGATGGACGGACAGGACGGGGATGTGATGGCAGCCGAGGCAGACCGGGCGCCTCCTCTTGCAAGTGAGGTCCTAGTGGGACAGACACGCGCCCTGGCGTGTGGCCGGCGCTCCCTTTCGTGGGACGATGGCAGAGCCCAGGGGCTCGCTAACCAAAAACACTTGGTCCCTGGCAGTGTTTCCCCTCGGCACCTGTCCATGGTGAATGTGACATTTTAAAAATAAGGTCAAGTTTATCTGTGTGAAGTGAACTTGAGTTGGGTAGCAACCGGCTCTACCTTTTGTATGGGATTGAGCCTTTTTTTAAAATTTTGTTAATCCTCACCAAGAATATTTTTCCCATTGATTTTTAGAGAGAGTGGGAGGGAAGGAAGGAGGGAGAGAGAGACAGAGAGAGAAACATCGATGTGAGAGAGATACATGGACTGGTTGTCTCTCACACCCACCCCAACTGGGACCAGGGATCGAACCTGCAACTCAGGGATATGCCCTTGACCAGGAATCAAACCCACGTTCTGTGCGTGGGCTGAGGCTCCACCACTGAGCCACACTGGCCAGGGTCTGTGATTGAGCCTTTCGATCTCTTGAGAGATTTTCATCCGTGGGCTGCCTCCTGCATGCCCCCAACTGGTTAATGAGCCCACAACCCGGGCATGTGCCCTGACCGGGAATTGAACCGTGACCTTCTGGCTGATGGGTTGATGCTCCACGACTGAGCCACACTGGTTGGGCAAACCTTTTGATCTTGTCCATTTTAGGTTCCTTGGGTTGTTTCGAATCCACTCTCCAGACAGGGCCCTGGGTGTGGGGAGGGGGGAGGGGAAGAGAAGGGGGAGAGGGGAGACAGGAGGTGGAGCCTGGCGTGCGGGGGCCTGTCCTTCCCGCCACGGGCCACATGCTGACCTCGGGCACCTCGTCGCCATGCGGCCACTGGACCTGGTGCTCGGCTGACCTCCTGCTCTCCTGGTGTGGAACAGCGACCGCTGCGTCCGGCTCTGTAACCCGAACATCGCGACGATGAAGGAGGACATCCTCTACCACCTCAGCCTCAGCACCAGCTCGCACGACCTCCCGGCCATGTTCGGGGACGTGAAGGTGAGGAGCTGCCGTCAGCCCCTTGGTCGGCGGCCTGAGTCCACGCCCCACAGAGGACGCTCACCAAGGGACAGGCTGATCGGAATTTTGCGAGTTGTTCCTGGTCTGCATACCAGCTCGTGAGGAGCAGAAACTGTCCTCAGGCCTGCCCGTGGGCCCCTCCGATTCCTTGCGCGTTTAGGGGGTAATGGGACCCATGCAAGTGGGTTTCCTAATGTGCCCCTCAGGGAACCGGAGACGCGGGCGGTGTCTAGGGCGCAGGAGTCAGAGGGGCTGTGCGGTGTGTGGTCCGTGAGTGACACCCACACGGTGACACCATCTGTTCAGCCGCCTCAGTGGCTTGTTTCATCTTTAGAGACTTAGCTCTTTGACCATTAACACCCTTAAGCTGGCGCACTTACTTGCTTTTCTTGTGTAAAACAAAATGAGAAGCTCTTATATACAGACTAGAGGCCCGGTGCACGAAATTCGTGCACAGGGGCAGGGGACCCTCAGCCTGGCCTGCATCCTCTCGCAATCCGGGACCCCTCGGGGGATATCCGACTGCCAGTTTAGGCCCGATCCCCACAGGCCAGGTGGAGGGACCCCACCCGCCAGTACAGGAATCCATGCATTGGGCCTCTAGTTCATTATTAGCTAACCTCTGAGAAGTGTCACTAACACAGTAAAAAAAGCAGTTTTTTTAGGAACAATCATGTAGTCGGACATCCCTCTCGCAATCGGGGACCGCTGGCTCCTAACTGCTCACCTGCCTGTCTGCCTGCCTGATCGCCCCTAACTGCCTCTGCCTCAGCCCCCACCACCATGGCTTCGTCTGGAAGGATGTCCAGAAGGTCGTTCAGCTGTGCAGTCTAATTAGCAGATTACGCTTTTATTATTATAGATGGGTGACTGTTTAGTTCTCTGAGTCCCGCCCCTCCATGGCCACTTCCCAGGCCCCCACCAGCCCTGGGCGCTTGCCACGCGTTGGCCATTTGGTGCTTGGGTGGTGGTGAGAGGTGGTAGAAGCCCATTTTATGTTATTATTTTTTAAAATGTTTTTATTGATTTCAGAGAGGAAGGGAGAAGGAGAGAGCGATAGAAACATCCATGATGAGAGAGCATCATTGATTGGCTGCCTCCTGCAGGCCCCACACTGGGGATCGAGCCCACAACCCGGGCATGTGCCCTGACCGGAAACTGAATCCTGACCTCCTGTTCCTAGGTCGATGCTCGACCGCTGAGCCACGCCGGCTGGAGCCAGAAACCCACTTTACAGGCGGGCTGTGGGGTCTGGGCCGCACAGCGAGGAGCCGGCACTGTCCTAGTCCACCCCCGGCTCCCCACACCCTGTGCTGCAAGGAGGCCGACAGGCAGGGCCCCCCCCCCACCTCCC